AGAATGATTATTTCTGTGGTGATGCATCTTTGCACTCCATAGCAGTGCTTTTCAACCTGGGGGCTGCAGACTAAGTCTAAGATTTCCAAAAAGGTCCATGAATGAAAAATGATTGAAAAACACTCTCTAGAGCAGCGGTGGGCAATACACGGCCTATGGGTTGGATGCGGATTGCCAGGATTAGCCGCTGCTGGGCTGCCAAATGCTTTATTTACCTGCATGTCCACAGGTACAGCCACTTGCAACTCCCATTAGCCGTGGATCATTGTTCCTGGCCGCTGGGAACTGTAGGAAGTGGCGTCCCAATCCATGCCACTGCCTGCAACTCCCATTGGCTGGGAACAGTGATCCATGGCCAATAGAAGCTGAAAGCAGCCATACCTGTGGGCACCCAGGTTAAAAAAAGCATCTGACAGCCCATCAGGGGCTAACTCTGGCAAACTGTGTCCGGCGCCCAGGCCACTTCTTACTGTAGAAGCTGTAGAAACCATTTTCATACTTAGCTAGAAGCCATCTTGTATAACAGAAACCATTTCAGCTTTTCTCTCAAGCACGTAGACCAGAGTGAACTTTCTGTCACCCCGTGAGAAGAGGCCTACAGGATGGGCTATTGGTATGTGTTAATTGGGCTGGTTGGGACAGGAGATGTACTCCCTCGCACCTGTCCGCCATCTTGTTGATAAGGTTTGGTTTTTCCAAATTTAATTGAGGATTTCTGTAATTGGATGCCCTGACGTCAGACTGTTTAGCTAAGGGTATAAAGATACTAGGATTGATTGTATTAGCAGCCTTACTGGGTCTAGCTCTGCTGTGACCACGTTTGGCTCATGCTGTGCTTTATTAATTAATAAAGCTGTTTGTTAGCTGCCTAAACACAGAGGAGCATGTTTTTGCTTCGACATTACCTATCCCTGCCGTAGAGCAAGAAGCTCTACAAAGTTCACAATACCAGGCTGCCTCTTTTGAGGAAACTAGAACTAGACATTTCAGCTTTCCTATAGGAAGTATAAGCGTGTTTCTAATAGGCGTTTTCCTTCCGCACAGCTGGGACAACATAACACGAATGTAAACCAATTATGAGGTTTGAAAGTAACAAACCACTGGGCCAGGCCCCCCGGCACATGGCGCATGCGGAGGGAGTTATTCAGGAAAAAAAAAAGTTGCCTGCCCCTTTAAGGGTGGCCATTTTGAACTGTTGTTCTCGCAGCGCAGGGATGTGCCACAGTTTAATAAACACCGCGAGAGCCGTCAGGACAAAGGGTTCCCAGGCCAACCGGGCCAGCCTCGCCCCCACCCCCCCCTGCAGCAACGCCAGGGGCAGGGTCCACGGCGCGGGGGCGGGACAGTCCCTTCAGAGGGAGGGGCGGGAAAGCGGGCACAGACGAACCCTTCCCTCAGAGCAAGACGTCGGTTCCTTCCAAGCGCCTGCGCCGTAGTCGTCTCAGGAGGGGGCGGGGCGAGTCTGCCGTACGGTTGAGGCAAACCGTCGAAACGGAACGGTTTGCTGCGCGTGCGCCGAAGGACGGGCTGCGCGTGCGCCCTGCGCTCGGGCCCAGGCGGTGGCTGAGAGGGGCGGGGGGAGTCGGCGATC